AAAGCTTTGCTACAGGTAATGTGCGAACTGAAGACATGAGACAAAAATGTACATTAGAAATACATGTATAATTAAAACGTTGTTTTTATGCAGCAAAACGTTACTCCAAATTTTAAGATATCTTATACTGTATCAAATTGAAATGTATAAAGAAATCTCTGTCGATACTAAAAGAATCTAAACAGTCGCAAGTCTTACTCCCATATACATTGCATGTTGTCACTTTACCCTGTAAAGATTCACTCCAAGAACGGGAGTTTTTCGTACGAAAGTTAAGTGTTAAGTGTTAAAGGGACTCCACTGAGGTTGAAAAGCCTAAAAACATAACATAAGAATTTCTTACATATATGAAAAGGGGCGCTTTAAACAGAAATATATGCAAAGATAGTTAAGAAAGATACTTTTGAATAAATTGAAAATCGTAGTTTTATGCTTTTCTTAGTCTAATTTGAGTGAAAAGAGTTTAAACGCTTTTCATTTTGGGTCATTTTTTTACAATTTGAATAATTATTATAGAAAAACGAAGCGCGAATGATCTGAAAGTTTGCACAAAGATTTGTGGTCTACACCTACATCAAATGGTACATTTATCTGCAAAAAAAATATTTTTAGTCCGATCATGTCAAAAAACCTCTGTGGAGTCCCTTTAAATTCTTAGACTGCCAACACTTACGATTTTTTTTAATCACAAAAGAGGTGTAATTTAGGTAAAGCAAATAACGATATCGTCATAAATCAAATAAGTAATTTCTTTAGAAAATGTACTATATAAAATTCTCCATTTTACAATGTTTTTTATATAAGTTCTAACTGTTGTGCAAATAATATTTTAAAGTACTATTAACACATTTTTTTTCTCGTGCAATCATTACAAGTGATTAAAATTTCATATTTATTACAATAGACATATATCAGTAAAGATATATATTTTACCTACTTTTCTTATTCGTGTCCTCTTAAAATCTGCATAAAATATTGCATATATCTGATAAAATGTGTTTTATGAGCACATCGAAATATTTGAAATATAAACATTTATGATCATTTATTGTATATACAATACAGATTCCGATATCCTTCGATGCAAACGAGTTAACTGACAATATCAAAGCAATGCGTTTTACTTTTACATTTTATAGCTTAATGTATTTTGACAACCTGTAATGAAGTCACTTATTTTAGTTAAACCATTGATCATGATATTACTCTTTGGCTACCTCAAATACTGCCCTTCTCTTTTTAACTGATACATTCTATACGATATTTGTATTGGGCAGATGGATTATTGATTTTTTGAGGTAAAATATAAAATGGCAAAATGTCAAATATTTTCATCTTTTCACTGACATTTTACACTTAGATGCGCAAAATGTCACTTAAGCAAAGTTTTTAAGGATTCAATGTTCCTCAAAAATGTTTGATGTTAAACTTCATAAACTATAAATATCTGCTGAAAGAAATGACATTCGAGGTTTTGAAAAATAATGTGACCACACTTATTAATCTGCATACTGCTATGAACTTTTGAATAAACGTCAGCATGATAATAAAGAGGTATCGATTACTTACTAAACATATTATAATTGTATTATTCGTGTACATGTCTAAAATAAAATAAGTACCTAAAATAAAACTCACTGTTTAAAGCTGTCAAAATATCCGAGTAAATATTTACCTTAAATGGTCGAGTTGGCAAACGAAATATATTTTTTATCTTATGGATTTTCAAATTATTAAATTTTGTGTTACCCTTGACTAACCAAGCACTGTTTATAACACGAACTAAATTGTATCGCCACAATGTTCATATAAATTAGTTATTTTATATTTTATCGCTAAATACTTAAAATTGAAATTAATTTGTAATGGGTATGTTTACGGCAAACAGTAATAGATTACCATGTAGTTAGGTTAATGTACGAATATGTAAAATATCTCCATAAACAAATGTTCTTTATTGTGTTACTTATTGTGAACTAAAGATAGTTATTTCTTCTAAAATGATTTAAATATCGATACATTTGGCAAAATATACATGAGAATTATCGTTAAAAATTTATTGCCAAGGGATCTGAATGTTAACTGGAATTTTGAATATCAACATATCAATCCTAATGATATACTCCTTTTAATTAATTATCTATGCAAATAACACAATTTCTGATCTTTATGAATGCCTTATATTTAAGGATGATGACAAAAACTACAGTGGCTGCAACAGTTTATCTGAATTAGATAGCTATGGTATGCAATATTCCATAGAATCCGAAAATTAATACTTGTTCAACTCGTACATATAAATGAATCTTAAAGCTCGTTTCTGGTGAAGACCAGTTACCGGAGATTTATGCAAAATGTCAAACATTTACATACTGATAAAAAAGACGATGTGATCCGACTGTAGCGACTTGTAGATTGTTGTGCTGTGTAACGAGATTTTGTATCTAACGAAAATATGTGTTAATTTGTTAAGTTTATATTGTATAATTGAAATAAACATGATAAACAAAACAAAGACTTATCCTCTAGGTATTTTTTTTGAAGACAAATATTTTTTTTTGGAATATGTTATAATAGCACCGGTATTTCCTTTTAACCTCCAGAGCTAAACTATCTGAAATAAAATCGGTTGAACAAGCTAAACATTAACATTACGGCTCTATCTGAGTCCAAAATAATACAGATGTAATACTATTATTCATATCTCCAAACATTTTCACCATTTGACCATTTCATCAATTGTGTGAATGTTTCAACTACATGTAAAAGCCTAATTAAGAAAGGATTTCTTCAACGGTAAGGTCTAATTTTAGAAATGTTTGCACATTAAATGTGATTAACCATAGCATTCATAAGCTAAACATGACACCATGACAATGATTGAGCTTACCATGGCACCATGACGATGACCGAGCTAAACATGGCAACATGACGATGATTGAGCTAAACATGGCACCATGACGATGATGGAGCTAAACATGGCACCATGACGATGATGGAGCTAAACATGGCACCATGACGATGATGGAGCTAAACATGGCACCATGACGATGACCGAGCTTAACATGGCACCATGACGATGATAAAGCTAAACATGGCACCATGACGATGATGGAGCTAAACATGGCACCATGACGATGATGGAGCTAAACATGGCACCATGACGATGACCGAGCTAAACATGGCACCATGACGATGATGGAGCTAAACATGGCACCATGACGACGATGTAAGCTAAGCATGATGCAATGACGATGATTTAGCTTAACATGACGCCATGACGATGATTTAAGCTAAACATGATGCAATGACGATGATTTAGCTGAACATGACGCCATGACGATGATTTAAGCGAAACATGATGCAATGACGATGATTAAGCTTTACATGACGCCATAACGATGAAAAAGCTAACCACGACACCATGATGATAGAACTTCACTCAGCGCAATGTTTGAAGTAAACATTGCATCATGACGATGATTAATATAAACACGGCACCATGACGATGATTGAGCTTAAAATGACACCATGACGATAAGCTAATTATGACATCGAGACAATGATTGAGCTAAATATGACGCAATGACGATGATTGAGCTTAACTCAGGGTCATGTCGATGAATAAGCTAAACACGACACCATGACGATGATTGAGCTTAACAAGACGCCATGACGATGATAAGCATATTATGACACCATGATGATGATTGAGCTTAACTCGGCACCGTAACGATGATTAATATAAACACGGCACCACGACGATGATTAAGCTCAAAATGATGCCATGATGATGGTAAGCTTATTATGACACCATAAAGAAGATTGAGCTTAACATGACGCAATGACAATGATTAAGCTAAACATGGTACCATGACGATGATTAAGCTAAACACGGCGCCTTGACGATGATTGAACTTAATATGAAACAATGCCGATGATTGAGCTTAACATAACACCATGACAATGATTACACTTAACACGGCACCATGGCGATGATTGTGCTTAATTTGAAACCATGACGATAATTAAGCTTATTACGGTACAAAGATTATGATTTAGCTAAATTTAACATATCGATGATTGAACTAATAACGAGATAACGATGATAATTGAGCTAATCATGACACCATGATGATGATTGAGCTTAACATGACGCAATGCAAAGATTAAGCTATACATGGTGCCATAACGATGATTGACGTAATAAGCTAAACACAGCACTAAACACAGGGCCATGACAAAGATTAAGCTAGCACGACACCTTGACAATGACTGAACTTAACATGATGCAATGACAATGATTGAATGTAACATGGCGCAATTATGATGATCAAGCTAAACACGGCACAAGACAAAGATTAAGCTAAACATGACACAATGTCGATGATCGAGCTTAACATGGCACCATGCCGATGATTGAGCTCAATATAATGCATTGACGAAGATTGAGCTAAACATGGCCACATGACAATGATTAAGCTTAACACAACACCATGACAATGACTGAGCTTAACATTGCTAAGTGACGATTATTGAGCTTAACATAGCACCATGGCGATAATTGAGCTTAACATTGCGAAGTGAAGATTATTGAGCTTAATATAGCACCATGGCAATAATTGAGCTTAACATTGCGAAGTGACGATTATTGAGCTTAACATAGCACCATGGCAATAATTGAGCTTAACATTGCGAAGTGACGATTATTGAGCTTAACATAGCACCATGGCAATAAATGAGCTTAACATTGCGAAGTGACGATTATTGAGCTTAACATAGCACCATGGCAATAATTGAGCTTAACATGGCAGTCACAATGATTAAGCTGATAATCTCATATTTCCAAATGTTTCATTTAAGTCAGAAGTTAAAATATGTTAAGATTGACAAGACAGAGCGATGGTCATAGAATGCAGCCCCAACAAGTTACATGTCAGGTTATATTTTTTCTGCAACGAAAATAATAACATTTAGACTAAGCTAGTGAAAAAAAACACTTTCAAGTGAACAAATTATTTTAATATTTTTGTATTTAACATAATCACAGTCAACTTACACTGAGACACCAATGTCCAACTTTTGAAAACTAAATAAACATGCATACAAACATCACAGTATTATTTAGGACTGCAAAACTTTTTATAGAAAATCGCAAACAATAGTTTAACAGGTATGTTCTGTCAAACATAGATAATATGTCATAATGTTCCTGCCTCAGTCCCTAAAATTTTATATTTCTTTTGAGTGAGAATCAATCGCACTACATGTGCCTCATATAGAACAAATATTTTTTAAGAAAACAACAGCCACAACAAAGTGTAACTAGGAATATTTTGAAAGGTATATATAACACAAAATTATAAATAAATAAAGACTTTGGAAGTTAAATAAAGTTCAAACAAAGCATTATTTCACACTGATTGCTACAACTATAAACAAGAAAACAAACATGATTTTTTGTCCATGCATCTGATGGAAATCATAAATGCAAAAGCAACGGTAAGCTTAAACAAACAAGTCTATCTATCTATATATTAACTTAATTTTAAAATTAATCACTTCATTTTCTTATGCTCTGTATGTATGCATTGCTGGATTTCTTTTTTTCTTTTTATCTTTCTTTACATCATCGTATCACCACTTGTCTGTCAACATCAACTATTCTTTATCTGTCATCTCATTTCCTGAATTTTTTTTTAATATTGAATATCCCAACGATTTTCATTATTTCACAAAAAACGCTGAATCGTGCACCATACACAAAGCATTTCATTTAACTGAAAAGAGTACTGCTGTACCAAAGTTTCATTACAATTAGTATGTTGCTTTTATATCAATAACTTCTGGAGTGACCTTATATTCCAAGAGATGTTGGTAAATTCTTCCGAAGTTTTGTTTTTGGAATATGTATAGCAAAAATCGTTCATGATCATGAGTATATCTGCACAACTGAAATGATTTTACTACTTCACCTAAAACTTAAGATACTTGTTTTGAGGTCAACTGTCAAAGCTTCACTGAAAATAAACAAACAAAAAAACAACTGTATAAAAACTTTGGAATTTATAAAACCACTATAAATCATATATTCTATATATAATTAAACATTAAGAGCTCCTATGATTTAAGGTGACAACGGAGTCAATTATCACTGAAAATACCTAAAATGAGATTTTTTGCTAAGTAGATTTATCAACCTTTTCTGAACACATTCGTGATTTAATTTTGGAAGCAGTTAGTCCAAAAAATGTGTTTTTAAACGTTTTAAAACGGTACCTATACTATTTGTAACTGCTACTCGCGTAACCTGTCGATTATCGATAACGCTCCGCCCCCTGTTGAGGCATCAATGAGGGAAATCGGTAGTTCCATATATCCGTGAATTACAGGTCCATACTTCTCGTAATACATGTATCGTACAACTACCGTACATCTTTTATGAATATCTCAACATTTAGCTTTTTTTATAAATTAAGAAATTGTCGGCCAATGTACGTAACATAAATAATTAAGCATAGCGGCAAATCGCACAACCACGGGGTTGAATAAAAATGTAGTTGCTAAAATATCCATAATGTGTGAAAATAATTTGTCTGTCCCGTTAATCTGATAGATATTACATTGAGTTGATAGACTTTTGTACGGATTCAAGGGCTTACTTTACATTCAACCTCGTTTTCTATCAATGTCGAGTAAAACAACAACAAAAACAGACAACATTTTTATGTGAACGCCTATATGACTATAGGATAAGGTGTACCTGACAAATTTCTAAACCATTTTAGATTGTCTAAGGATGATTATTTCCCTATGAATAAAAAAAAGATATTAAAATATATTTTCAGTGAAAATAAATTGTTCGCCAGTAAATCGGACACAGTACTACAAAGTATGAAATTTATTGTCTATCCCGGTAGAAACTGGATCTCTATGCCGTGCATAGATGATATTCATAATAGAAGTCAAGAAGGCCATATCATAATGATCGAGTAATACCTTTTATTTCTATTAAAATATGTGAAGCATTATCAATTGGTGGAAAAAATATATAATATCCTGTTCTTATTTGTACATCTACCATGGACTTTAAAAGACTGTCAGAAGCTCAGTTTTTTGTTATTTTATTTTATATTTTAAACGGAATTTCATACACGAATACACAGGCAGAGTGACACTGGTATAATACAATAATAATGCTGATGATAATAATAATAAACTTCAAAAAGGAAACAATTAAATACCCCGCTAGCGGTGCGCAAATGCGTTCCATTTCCCCCCACTGAGTGCCTCAAATTTTACCGATAGTCACGTGACATGTGCGAAAGATACCAGACGAACAGTAAATCACGTTAAGAATTGAAGAAATTTCGGCTATAAACTGATATTAATCAGCAGCTTTTTAATTGGTCAGATGTCACTTGGTCATAAAATGTTGTTAGAGTATGTTACCGCAACTTGTGACCCTCTCTGGTGCGATATTTGTGTATTATGCAATTATTTAGCGTGAAACGTAGGGGTCCGAGAGAGAACAGCCGATTTATGACACTTCGTTTGATGCGGGTCGGACTAACTTTGAATCGGCATAACTTTTTTAATAATCAAGCAATTAACATGCGGTTTAAAGCACATGAAAGGAAATTCATTTACGGAGGGAACCGTGTCAGGGATTTTTGTTTGCTCAATCAGCGACTTAATTATCTTGAATTACGTAATATGTATGGTGAAAAAAGTCGCATAAAATGTTTGACGTTACGTAATATTTTTTTGAGAAAAGATAGAAAAAATTTGAGACACGGTTCCCCAGATAATATAAGTAAGGTTATTTTCCAAAAGTTTGATGACAAAAAAATAAAAAATGACTTTGATATGACGATTTAAAATTTTAGGATTTTTATTCAAAATCAATCATTTACAAAAGCATTTTTTTCAAATATGTTATTTTTTATGCTGATCAGCGACATTTAATGCATAAATATTAAATAAATAACAATTATTACTAAAATAACTTGGTTTAAATTACATTTATGTGAGTACCACGGAAAGTGTCTGTTGTCACCTTAAGACTACCTTCTTTTTAAATGGTCCCAACTGAGATGGGATTTTTTAATATTTTATCTATTTTTATGTACCATTGTTGTATGCAAAATTTAAGATCATTCTGTATGCTTCCTTATATCAGAATGTAGCAATTTTGTGAAACAAATGACCAAAACAGGAGAAAAAACTTTTTACTAAGAATAGCACAAAATTACATTTTGCGCTTTCATTCAGTGTATTATATTCCTGTGTTACCTTTTGCATGTCCTATTCACCTATGAAAGAAGTTAACAAATTATATGTTTTTCTTTTAGCATTTTGACCTCAATGAAACACATTTTAGCACTGTTGCTATGGAAATAATTAGAGCCATGTTATAGCAAAGGCATAAAGTTAAGTTTCAATTACTTCTCAACCAACATATATAGCCTTTGCCTATAGAATTATGGCCATAAACATTTTCTTACCACAAGTTCTGTTGTCAAAATATTTACAATGCATCAAATCCAGGTTCAGACATCATTCTTGTAATGTTGATTCTGTAATTATTCAATATTTACTTCAATAACATGACTGCAACAATAAAATTTGTAATGGCTGCAACAGTTACAATAACACTTGATATGGATGAAACACAAACATTTGCTATGAATACAACAATATTTGCTATGACTGCAACTTTATGTGCTGTGGCTGCTAAAATATTTTTTTCAATTAATTTGCCATGGCACCAACATTTGCTATGGCTGCTATAATACCATTTGCAATGACTGCTACAAAACCATCTGCTATGGCTGCAACAATTATATTTAGTGCCATAGCTACAACAATAACATTTGCTATGACTGCAACAAAATCTGTTATGTATGCAACAAAATCTGCAATGTCTGATTCAATAATATTTTAGTGACTGCTATAATATCTGTTATGGATACAACATTAAATTAATTAGATTTCATGTGCAATAGTTTTTGCAAATTTTCATTTAAAATTAATCCTAAAAGAATTATAAATGTTTAAATTAAGGCACATTATGCCTCCGAAATGCTTTTATTTTAATTTCTAAAAAAGCTTTTTTTTATTTTGAACTCCACAATGGCAAAAAACACACAACATAAAACTTGAAAATCCAAGAAATATCAAGTCCCGTCCAGTTTAAAAATCTCTGTAGAGTCCCTTTACAAGAAAGGATTACAATGATAACCATAGCTAATTTATTAACTCTACTATTCTACCAAAGCTAAAAACTCCAAATTTTAACATTTCTATTAAAAATATTAGATATAGTAGATATTAGTAGATATGCATAGCCAATATATCTTGACAAGTTATTCAAGAGCACAAAATTAAGACTACAAAGAAATGTCACTCTCTGAGTAAAGTCAGTATTATTATAAGTGACCATGCTCTGAGCCTAATTCAATATCTTACATTTTGTCACAGGTAAAGTACATTTTTCTTCCCTGATAAAATTTATCTTTTTGGAAACAGTAATTGGCCAGTGTTACAGCTCCTAAATGCACTGGCTCCTACAAGCGCTAGCCCCTAAAAGCACTGGCCCCTAAAAGCACTGGCTCCTAAAGGCACTGGTTCCTAAAAGCACTGGCTTCAAAAGCACTGAATACATACCATTTTTTACAGCCAGTCCTTTCAGTTCGAGAAACAATGATAGAGACATGTATTTCTTATCTTGAGTATGTTTATCTTCATTCTCAATCAGTAGATCAACAGGAACCTTGCCATCTTGAACTTTTCCCTACAAAGAGAAAACTGACCAATCAATTACATTGTATAACTGATTTAAAATAACACTATTTTTTGGTTGGGTTAACACTGTTAAGGTAATAAGGCATTTTTCCAGCTTTAATAGTCACACCGTATTACCGGCGGCAGTGATGGCAGATCACTGCAGTGATGGCAGATATCTGAAAATTACCGATCGATACAGGTAGGTTATTAATTTGGTTGGTTTAATTATATTACACAAATACGGCCCATTTCATTGCTATAAAACTATTGTCCATTGAATGGAGATACTGTAAGGTAATTTTGGACTCGTTTTTTCCTGTTTTAAGACTATTTTGAGCAGATTAAAAGTGACAGCCTCGGAAAAATCAGTGAAAATGTCTGTTTTCTGTTCAAAATATCTCAAGTTTTAAGTAAATGGCAGGATTTCCTGTTATCAATATAGACGTTCATCCATTGGGGTCACGCAAGCCAAATATCTACCCCGTGAGTCTTTTCTTGAAAGTTTTACAGACGCTCAATCTTGTCCGGTCATCAGCATTATTATTGTATTATACCAGTGTCACTCTGCCTGTGTATTCGTGTATGAAATTCCGTTAAAATATAAAATAAAATAACAAAAAACTGAGCTTCTGACAGTCTTTTAAAGTCCATGGTAGATGTACAAATAAGAACAGGATATTATATATTTTTTCCACCAAATTGATAATGCTTCACATATTTTAATAGAAATAAAAGGTATTACTCGATCATTATGATATGGCCTTCTTGACTTCTATTATGAATATCATCTATGCACGGCATAGAGATTCAGTTTCTACCGGGATAGACAATAAATTTCATACTTTGTCCCAGATTTATTAGTACTGTGTCCGATTTACTGGCGAGCAATTTATTTTCACTGAAAATATATTTTAATATCTTTTTTTTATTCATAGAAAAATAATCATCCTTAGACAATCTAAAATGGTTTAGAAATTTGTCAGGGACACCTTACCACAAGTCATATAGGCGTTCACATAAAAAATGTTGTCTGTTTTTGTTGTTGTTTTACTCGACATTGTTAGAAAACGAGGTTGAATGTAAAGTTAGCCCTTGAATCCGTACAAAAGTCTATCAACTCAATGTAATATCTATCAGATTAACGGGACAGACAAATTATTTTCACACATTATGGATATTTTAGCAATTTTAATCAACCCCGTGGTTGTGCGATTTGCCGCTATGCTTAATTATTTATGTTACGTACATTGGCCGACAATTTCTTAATTTATAAAAAAGGCTAAATGTTGAGATATTCATAAAAGATGTACGGTAGTTGTACGATACATGTATTACGAGAAGTATGGACCTGTAATTCACGGATATATGGAACTACCGATTTCCCTCATTGATGCCTCAACAGGGGGCGGAGCGTTATCGATAATCGACAGGTTACGCGAGTAGCAGTTACAAATAGTATAGGTACCGTTTTAAAACGTTTAAAAACACATTTTTTGGACTAACTGCTTCCAAAATTAAATCACGAATGTGTTCAGAAAAGGTTGATAAATCTACTTAGCAAAAAATCTCATTTTAGGTATTTTCAGTGATAATTGACTCCGTTGTCACCTTAACAATCAATTCTGATTATGACTAGCAGGCGTGTGAAGGGGTGTAATGCAGTACTTTTGGATGTTGAAGACGGACGCTTTAAATTTTATATTTACATTATTTGAATAAATGAATGTGAGTAGATTATTATTAAATACATATCGTTATCTTGCATACATCAGTCCATCTGTTTATTCTTGAAAATGCGAATTGTTGTGTGCCCAATATTATGTCCTTTTATGATAAGCACAGCATCCTTAGCCCCTATCAACATGGCTTCATGTCTAAACGTAGTTGTGAGTCCCAGCTAGTAAGCTTCTCCCAGGAAATTCATGATAATCTTGAAAGTGGCCAACAAACTGATGTCATAGTCATGGATTGTAGTAAGGCATTTGATAAGGTGGACCATCACAAACTTGTGAGTAAATTGGAAAGATTGGGTATAAGTTATGATGTTACAAATTGGGTCCATTTCTTCCTTAAGTCAAGCTCCCAGCAAGTTGTAGTTGAAGGTAAAAAATCAGGAATTCTACCAGTTCTCTCAGGTGTCCCCCAAGGCTCGGTATTAGGTCTCTGCCTTTTGCTTTCTTACATAAACGACCTCCCGGATAGTGTCAAAGGTAAGGTTAGACTCTGTGCAGATGATACTGTTGTCTACCTAACCATCAGATCTAAACAAGATGCCCAAACCCTCCAAGATGACCTTCATGCTTTAGAAACATGGGTAAAAGACTGGTCCATGGAGTTCAACCCTGATAAATGTAAAGTTCTCAGGATAACAAGAAAAAGAAACCCTGTAATATTTCCTTATACCCCCATAACATCCAACTTAACTCAACCCAAGAAGCAAAATACTTAGGAATCACTATTAGTCAAGACCTTTCATGGACCAAATATATAAACAATATTACAACTAAAGCAAATAAATCCCTTAGATTCATTAGAAGAAATGTTAAAACCCCAAATAAAAAGATAAAGGAAACTGCATATAAGACCTATGTTAGACCTCAGGTTGAATATTGCTCCAAAGTTTGGCATCCTTGGCAGAAATACTTAATTTATAAGATAGAGCAATTCCAAAGATCAGCTGCTAGATATATATTTAATGACTATGACTATACAAGTAGTGTCTCTAAATGATAAATGGTCTTAATTGGCAAACCATTGAACAACGTCGAAACATCAGTGCTGTAACCTACTTGGATAAAATCCAAAACAACATTGTTTTTGTTGACCACCAACACCTTACTCAAACAAGAAATCTGAACTACCTGATACCCTACTAGAGAAAACAATATCATCAAAATTCTTTCTTTCCTAGGAGCATACGTCTTTGGAATAGCCTTCCTCTGTTCAGTCTAGCCCCAGTTTAAACATCTTTACTGAGAGGTTTGACCCATTCTATAAATTCTAAATCGCACACTAATAGTCTTGTAAAACTTTTATTCTTTTAACTTTTTTAATTTGCATATAGATAATTTCTTTTATTAACAGTTCCCTGACAACGCGCATGCTAGTCATATATCAGAATTGATTGTTAAGCAGTATTCAGTATAATGTAGATAGATTCCGGTTTACGTCTATAGGAATTTAGACAAAACGTCACGCGCGAAACAACAACAACAATCAAAATGCCCGTGAAAGTGCGCTTGCTAGCACGTGTAAATTGACAGGTAACTGCTGTAATTTAGTTATTTTAGTACATATTTTGATTGATGTTTAGACATATTTCTGGATGTGCTTTTTAGCTCGACTTTTCTATGAAAAGGGGAGCTATCCTACTCGCCCCGGCGTCGGCGTCGGCGTTGGCGTCACACCTTGGTTAAGTTTTTCGTACCACCCCACTTTATTTCAGAAGTATTACAAGTATGGCTTTGAAACTTACCATACTTGTTCACCATCATAACCTCCATCTACAGACAAGAGTACATAACTCTGTCAAGGTTTTTGACAGAATTATGGCCTTTTTTGACTTAGAAAGTGTATTGAGCTTGCGTTAAGTTTTTTGTACCACCTCACTTTATTTCAAAACCATTGGAGGTATTGCTTTGAAACTGACCATACTTGTTTACCATCACGACCTTCATCAACAGACAAGAGGACATAACTCTGTCAAGGTTTTTGACAGAATTATGCCCCTTTTTTTGACTTAGAAAATACATTGAATATGGGTAAAATCCACTTATTGCCTTAACCCTTTGAGATATTGCTTTGAAACTTTTAATGCTATTTCACATCATTACCCCCATCTGTACGCAAGAGAAGGTAACTCTGTCAAGGATTTGTTTTAAAAAAAATTAAGGCCTTTTATCGACTTAGAATCTTGGTTAAGTTTTTAGTACCAGTCCACTTTTTTGACTGAACTGTTTGAGATATTAATTTGAAAGTTGGAATACTTGTTTACAATCATGATTCCCAAACATGCCAGGAGAAGGTAATTCTGTCAAAGATTTTATTTGAATTATGGCCCTTAACTGTCAATGTTTTGTATTATAGGCAAGCACTAAAAAACTTAAAAAATCTAAAAAAATTCATTCCTATCCACTTGTTCACTTTACCATAAATTATGTCATATAAACATTGCTGTAATATTCAAGGGTATCAAACAACTAGTTCACTTTAAAAATACAGAGATTCTTGTATTGCCTTTTACTGCAAAAACTTTTTTTATTGGCAAGCAATAAAAAAGTCGAGCGCGCTGTCTTACGGACAGCTCTTGTTAATAATAGGGATTTCAATGGGTTCATAATAATTACGTCAACATCTATGAGCTAACTAACATCTATGGGCTAACTCTATACTGATATTATTCTGGATATTTATTGTACTGTAGTTGAGAAAATAATTGATATGCTGTTATAAAACAGTTAATTTTAAAAATTCTTGTCAGTATCTATATAAAAACGTAAATCCCCATTGATGTAAAGGGGCATTTTCTTTGTCTTGTGCCTTTTTTATCAAAAACAAAATGTTCCATCAATGACAGTTTTTAATTATAAAGATTACATTTCAAACTCATTTAACTACCATGTTGATTTTCTCTACAGGAAATTAAGGTTTGTACACAGAAAGCAATAACCTTAATGTGATGTTCATCTCTTTTTTCTTTTTTTTTTTTTTTTTTTTGTAGGGGGGAATGAGAGTGGGGGGGAATAATATGCCATTTTTTAATGTTTGTGGTTTCATATCAAATTATATACATTGTGTATCATTTCTCACAACTCAAAGTAAAAGAATAAACTAGAAAATCCAATCAACAAGAAATTATTTTAGTGTGGCCTGTTAGTTTCACAGTCTTACCATTAAGTGGGATGCTCAGTTAGTTAAACAATAAGTACATGTACTACTGAAGTAATACACTGACAATACTGTGTGAAGTGTTCTGAAATTCACTTAACCAGTGACACAAGTTTTTCACTATAACTAGGATGTAAAAGATACAGATGTGTTAAAAATGTTTTTCATAACATCAACACAATTGTTTTAACCGGTTTCAATTATAATTGGGAAAATATTTATTATCAAAGGTTTGAAAATATATTTAGTAAATTTAAAATTGTAATTTAGCTATATCTTAAAAAGTATTTTTCATGAAATTTAAAACCTTGTAATATTTGATGTTGTTTCATAATCTTTATATTTGATTTTCAAAAGAGTTATTTAATGAAGGTAAATTTCAAATACTATGTTTAAAGGTACATTAATCCAGACAACGTGAATTTTTATTCCCTTCTCTATAAAAGGGCAATCATGAGTTTAATATATTGTTAAAATAATGGTTTAAGAGCATGTTAGAATACTCTCTCAACCTCCATGAAGAAAGTCAGCCCTGAATAAGAGGTTTTTTTGTCATAAAATAGCAAAATGTAAAAACAAAGTTTTCAAAATTTGGATGTCCATTACAAAAATACTTAAAGATTCTGTATGTTGTAATTAAAGGTTGTTACACACACAAGTATTTTTTTATATTAATGTATTTAATTATGCTTCTAAAATAATTTTCAACATCGAAGAATACGTAAAAATATTTACCGAAACTATTTGACCACATTATATGTCATGATCATTAAAAAGCAAAAGAGACAAACGATATTTCAGAAAAATTTGCCATCTCAGTGGAGTTCCTTTAAGTTTTGAATTTTATCAATACCTGTATCTGTCTAAAATATGATGGTTTTCTAGCAGTATCCAGTCCCAAATCGCACTTTTTCACAAACAAAAAATAAAAATATGTCTACAGAAAGGTACAAAACTTTGACAGAACAAAGATAGATACCTGTCAAGTATTAGCATGTTTTTAATGTTGCTCTTTCATATTTTTTATTGGAATAAAAGCCTAAAGTGTTATACCTTTTCTCACCTTTAATTCAAAATTTTATAGCAGTTTCTTTAAACTATTTTTATTTTGAATATAATTCAGTACCAGTAAGCAATGTTAAGATGTTTTTTGTTGTTGTTTTTTTTTAAAATAAATATAATTTCCCAACCTTTTTCATCTGATTTACTAGAACTGTTTATTTTTAAATGTTGCAAGTTCTCTTAAGTAACTTTAAACAACAGGCAAAACTTAAAAACTAATCAATCACTGTAAAATTTTAACTGCTGTGTTTCATGAAAATGTTTCTCTGTTTGATAAAGTAACAGAGATGCTTAACTGATAAGAAATAGACAATTTACTGGATAAAAATGATAAAGGGCCGGAAACTGCTAGGAAACCAGTACTGTAATGATTATTCAAAGAATCTTGGACAAGAATAATGAGGTCATCCTCATAAAACATATCTTCATTGCAAGATGTGTCAAAATGACTTCATTTTAAACTTACATAATGAGTTCATCTGTTAACAGTAAGTAAAACATACAATAAAATGAGATAAATTAGATTAACAAATGTAATATGGTGTGCCTTAACTTAAGTGCAAATGACAGACTATTAGAGATGTAGATAACAGAGATAAGCAGCTCCTATATACTCCATTGAAAAATCACTCATGCCTATCAAAAAGTGAAAAAAAAGTTATCTATGTCTCTGAGTTTATATAATAGTTATTTTCAATTTTTGATTGGCCTATGTGAATGTGACAAACCTTTATTTCTAACAATCAAATTAATAGAATTGTTATCTGCAAATGAATTTATTACCAAGAAGAAACTATACCACTTATATAAGGAAGAAATAACGCTAAATGCTCTGGCTGTTAAAAATGTAACATTAGTGCAAAGAGGGAAAGAAAATATTGTAAAGCATGCATCTCAATGTAACAAGTGCAAAGCGGAAAAAAAAATATCACTCTCCATCCAACTCAAGATAAGGATCTCGAATATATTGTATTCCTAGAAACATTTGCATAAACAATATTTCGTGTTTTTCATAAGGATGTTATTGCGTAGACAAACTATTACCACACTAAATACGTTCTCTCTATACCCACAAGACAAAAAACAAAACTAAGGCATATGATATTGATAAAAAAAAATCTTTAAATTTTACAGATGAAAAACTTATACGTAAGATATAAGATACCATTCTGACCTTATTTTCTGATACCAGAAAAGTGAAAATGCCTTCAGATATGAAAATATTTTAATTTGCATTTAAATCAAATAATCATGTGATTTATGATTGACCTTCCTATCTTTTGATTTAAATAAAGTTTGATCCTTAAAAATAAACAGTAATCCAAATAGGCTATCCATATACATGTAGTTATTATTTCCTAATTTGTACTTGTTAAAAAATTTAAAAACACCTTCCTTTTTAGCAAGTGAAATTACCTTCATTCAAAGTATACAAGCTGTAAATAACACATATTTTATTATTTTATTTAATCTGTAAATAGTGGATATTTTTAAACAGTACCACCGTTTTGCAAATGGATATTTTACCTTGAAATGTTTATCAGTTTGTTTGTTTGTTTTGGGTTTTACGTCACATCGACACAGTATAGGTCATATCGCGACGTTCCAGCTTTACGGGTGGAGGAAGACCTCAGGTGCCCTTCCGTGCATTATTTCAGGCACGAACAGGCACCTGAGTAGAACCTCCGACGTTCCGTAAGCTAGCTGGATAGCTTCCTCACATGAAATAATCCAAAGTCCCTGTCGGGATTCGAACCCACAGCGATGAGGGGTATATCAGTTAGGCATAGGTAAAAGTTAGGCATATTACATCATAGAACTTCATAATGACATAATGATGGTATTTGTGGCTGAAGCTACAAATGTTTGTACATGGAAACAAACATTCATGGACATGAATCAACACAAAAAGCTCTAACTTAACAAGAGCTGTCAGAAGGACAGCGCGCTCGACTTTTTTAGTGCTTGCCTATAAAACAAAACTTTGACAGTTAAGGGCACACAAGACTTTAACTAGGAATTTCTAAGTACAAATCAAGAAACATTTTCACAGAGTTATCTTCTCTTGCTTACAGATAGGTCTCATGATGGCACATAAGAACTCCAACTTCCAAAGTAATATCTCAAATGGTTAGGTCAACAAGTGGACAAGAATGAAAATTTAACTGAGTTTCCAAGTCAAAAAGGGCCATAAATTCAAATAAAATCCTTAACAGAAATTACCTTCTCCTGCCCATAGTTTGGGACCATGATGGTAAACAAGTATTCCAACTTTCAATTTAATATCTCAACCAGTTCAGTCAAAAAGTTGACTGGTACAAAAAACTTAACCAAGATTCTAAGTCGATAAAAGGCCTTAATTTTTAAAACAAATCCCTGACAGAGTTACCTTCTCTTGCGTACAGATGGGGGTAATGATGTGAAATAGCATTAAAAGTTTCAAAGCAATATCTCAAAGGGTTAAGGCAATAAGTGGATTTTACCCATATTCAATGTATTTTCTAAGTCAAAAGGGGCATAATTCTGTCAAAAACCTTGACAGAGTTATGTCCTCTTGTCTGTTGATGAAGGTCGTGATGGTAAACAAGTATGGTCAGTTTTCAAAGCAATACCTCCAATGGTTTTGAAAATAAAGTGAGGTGGTACAAAAAAACTTAACCAAGCTCAATACACTTTCTAAGTCAAAAAAGGGCCATAATTCTGTCAAAAACCTTGACAGAGTTATGTACTCTTGTCTGTAGATGGAGGTTATGATGGTGAACAAGTATGGTAAGTTTCAAAGCCATACTTGTAATACTTCTGAAATAAAGTGGGGTGGTACGAAAAACTTAACCAAGGTGTGACGCCAACGCTAACGCCGACGCCGGGGCGAGTAGGATAGCTCCCCTTTTCATAGAAAAGTCGAGCTAAAAAGCGCAAAGTAATTTCTAGGAATACAGTGATAGTAAAATTACAAAAAACAGATATGGTATTTCAGTCTAGCCTATGCTTACATTTAAACAAATAGTACCTTAATGCAGGGAGTTGTTGACCAAGTTAATTCCAATATAAGTTGAAAATATTCTTAAAAAGCTCATTTATTGGCTCAGAAAAGCTTTTTATTTTTGCTGTCCTGATATAGACTCCAAAAAGTAACTTATTGGCCAATTACCTGCACCATCATTGTTTTTGCTGCTTTTTAGCAAAATTCATAGTTATATTGATTTTGAATTTATTATGGAAGTCAAAATACTACTTTGTTTACAATTTCTTAATTCTATGACAAATAATTTTATGTTCAGCACTTCTTTCTTCAGGAGATAAGCATGTAAAGCATGTAACATGCTCTAAAACCATTTAAATATTATAATATTCATGTCTGCATTTTCTAAAGAAAGAAAATCATATTTATATTCGAGACATAATGTGCCTTTAAGATTGAAAATTTAACACAAAAATTTAAAGCTTATGAAGGAAAACTTTCAATAAGGCACATTAAAAAAACACCCTGAAAACAAAGGGACATTACTCCTGACTTTCCTCCTAGAGTCCTGTAGACACGTGATGGAACTTAGAACAGACCAATGTTGATAATATCAATATAATTGTAGATATCTGGCCTTCAGATGAGATATGCTATTTCATTTGAAAGAAATTATTCAACTGGTTTTAAAATATATATTTCAGTAAAAAGAATGGCTGTTCAAGGAAAATGGGAAAACACAGAATTGCTGTCCAGCTCTGATGAAGATCTTAAAATATACTGCCAGCCATGTGACCATGATGGACCAAGAATGCCAGCTTTTGGCTTCTGTACAGACTGTAGAGAACATTTGTGCGAAACATGTTTCAATTTACACAAAAGACATACTCTGTCTAGAGACCACATCCTTCTTGAGAAAAGCAACATGCCCCAAACCTTTATCTCTGCAACTGGCAGCCAGGCCGAAACACTCACAACATCATGCTCACATCATCAGAAAGAAATGATAAAATTCTTCTGCCATGATCATAAAGCTTTACTGTGTCATGTATGTATTACCATGGACCACCCTAGGACTTCATGCAAAGTTAACTATATCCCTGAAATTTCTGCCAGCATTATTGATAGCAAAGAATATCAAGATATCTTGAAGGCAATTGAAGATGTGTCAAAAGACTTTGATAGTAAGTTTGAATATTTGAAGAAAATGATTGAAAAATCGGACAAATCTTTGACAGATGCAATGGCAGACTTAAGAAAGTTCCGGATAGAAATCAATGAGAGGCTAGACAAACTAGAAAGTGAAACTGAAACTATTGCTAAAGCAATCCAACAGGAGACCAGTTTGAATCTGGAAAAATTCAAAACAAAATGTGAAGAGGTGACTAAATCTCTTACACCATGGTTAGATACCATTCCACATCTCAACAAGCAAATGCAAGCAGACAGACTGTTCATGCAAATCAAATTGGCGGAACAAATGATCCAAGATTACAAGGAAACTATCTTACAGATAGCAGCAAATGATGTCAAGCAGTACAAATTTGAGCCAAACAAAGATCTTAAAAGCCTACTTCATGAAGAAAAGTTCCTTGGATCTTGGGAGACTAAACAAGTTAGACCACAACGTCCTTCGAAAGCCCCTTGTCGTGCCAATCCAGGAAGAGTGCAAATGTTGGTGAAATTTGCGTTAAAACATTCAAAGATCAATCAATTTGCTTTGTAACAGGAATGGCCCTCCTTACTCCTGATCTTCTTGTAATTGTGGACCAAGGTAACAATGCTATCAAAATGGTAGATATTACAAAGAAGTCTGTTATAGACGAGATTTACTTGGATGAAACACCCACTGATATAACATCTGTTTCTAAGCATGAACTTGTTGTTACTCTTTCATCTGCACTTCTGTTTTTATCAGCTTCTAGCAAGAAACTCAACAAGGGACACACTCTCAACCTTCATGGACACTGTACAGTGAGCGTTAGCTGTTACCAAGACAAAATGGTCGTGTCATTTTCCAGTCCTGCAAAAGTTCAGATACTTGATATGAGTGGCATTATCCTTGGGACAGTTCAAGATGAAACTATTTTTAAAGAATCGGGATATGTCACAACATGTGAAAGTTGCATCTATGTATCTGACATCAGTATCAACACTGTAACTAAGTTAGACTGGCAGGGTAACGTGATGTGTAAATATGTTAGTAAAGGTGAAGCAAGGGGTATTACAATGTCAAATGGTGAAAATTTCTTTGTCTGTGACTGGAGAAACAACATGATAAAGGAAGTATCAGGGGATTGCTCAGAAGAAAAAGTAGTAGTGAAGACCAACAGGGAACCATATGCTGTATGTTGGTGTAATGAAACAAGCATGATGTACATTAGCAGCTGTAGCCTCCCAAACAACAACAAAGACAATTTTCTTCAGGTCTTCAAGTTGTCCTAAGGTGTATCATTAACCAATTGATTTGTATATTAGCCACTCTCTGTGTCTTAAATAGACTAAGCAAGCATCCATATGTCCAGAAGTAATCTCAATGTGCTATTTAGGTGACAGAGTTGGCTGGCTAAATGAATCTCAACTGGAAGGAATAAATTAGGATACATCTACAAAAAGTATTGAAGGAATACATAAATAAACATTTACAAACTGTATGGAAGGAATACATTAACACACCTCTACAAACTTTATGGAAGGACTACATTAACACACCTCTACAAACTGTATGGAAGAAAAACATCAACACAGCTCCATAAACTGTATAGAAGGAATACATTTCAACACACTACAAAAGGTATGGAAGGAATACATTAGCACACCTCTACAAACTGTACGGAAGGAATACATTAGCACATCTCTACAAACTTTATGGAAGGAATTCATTAGCACACCTCAACAAATTGTATGGGAGGAATACATCAACACAACTCTGCAAACTGTATGGGAGGAATACATTAACACACCTCTACAAACTGTATGGAAGGAATACATTTAAACACATCTAATCTACAAACTGTACAAAAGGAATACATTAACACACCTCCTCAAACTGTATGGGAGGAATACATTAACACACCTTTACAAACTGTATGGAAGGAATATATTAACACACATCTACAAACTGTATGGAAGGAATGCATTTAAACACATCTACAAACTGTACGTAAGGAATACATTAACACACCTCTACAAACTGTATGGATAGGAATTCATTAACACACCTCTACAAACTGTATGGAAGGAATATATTAACACACATCTTCAAACGGTATGGAAGGAATACATTTAAACACATCTACAAACTGTACAAAAGGAATACATTAACACACCTCTACAAACTGTATGGGAGGAATACATTAACACACCTCTACAAACTGTACGGAAGGAATATATAACACTCATCTACAAACTGTATGGAAGGAATACATTCAAACACATCTACAAACTGTATGGAAAGAATAAATTATCACACATTTACAAACTGTACAGAAGGAACATATTATATATTTAATACACATTTACAAACGGTATGGAAGAAATGTTTTATATACATGTACAAACATTTTGCAAGGAATGCAATATACACATTGTTTAAGATGATATATTCTTAAGTACATGTATATCAAACAGCTTTTAATAAACTTGTTATATAGTTTGACTAATGCTTTTTGTCATACATCTTTTAAGTGCTTGCAATATTAGAAATGTATGTCACCAATATAGATGTGGTTCAGTAAACACCCACATTACACTCTAACCATCAGCTGTATTAAACAACATTATATTTGAATTTCATACAGATGATTTTCTTGTATACCTGGCATGAATGTGCTTATTGATAAAGCAGATTTTGTACCAACATGCACTCATTCAGTCCCTTTTAACCTATTTTTGCACATTTTACATATTGGATCTACTGACTCATATATGTAAAATTTCTAAAATACCTCTCTTTCTACAGCAAACATGACAAAACTTGGAAAAACTGTAGATAGAAAACTGGATGCATTATGAATATAGTTTACTAAACAAAACTGTTTATAGCTAACTTGGAAAACTGTATATCCCGGTAGCTTATACTAGAACAAACTGTTTATAGCTAACTACACAAACTGTATATAGTTTATACTAGAAAAAACTGTTTATAGCTAACTAGATAAACTGTATATAGCTTATACATGAACAAACTGTTTATAGCTAACTAGATAAAATGTATATAGCTTAAACTAGAATAAACTGTATATAGCTAACTAGAGACAAACTGTATATAGCTTATACTAGAACAAACTGTATATAGCTTAAACTAGAACAAACTGTATATAGCTTATACTAGAACAAACTGTATATAGCTTATACTAGAACAAACTGTATATAGCTTATACTAAAACAAACTGTATATAGCTTAAACTAGAACAAACTGTATATAGCTAACTACACAACTAACTAGACAAACTGTATACAGCTTAAACTGGAACAAACTGTTAACTACACAAACTGTATATAGCTTATACTAAAACAAACTGTTTATAGCTAACTAGTCATACAGTATATAGATTATACTAGAACAAACTGTATATAGCAAACGAGACAAACTTATATAGCTAACTTGGAAAAACCGCATATAGCTAACTAGACAAAACTGTATATAACTTATACTAGACAAAATTATTTAAAGCTGACAATACCTTCTTCTCTAGAAATATATTCCTCTTCTGTATAGTATTTCTAACTATCATGATAGTTGATGATGGCCACTCTGTGCGACTGTTTTGTGGCATCAGGTCAGAATTACTCTTTCTTGGCCTCGGGTCAGGATGACTGCTTTCTAGCCTCGGGTCAGAATTACTTATTCCTAGCCTCGGGTCAGAATTACTGTTTCCTAGCCTCCAGTCAAAATTCCTGTTTCCTAGTCTCGGGTCAGAACAACTGTTTCCTAACCTCGAGTCAGAACAACTGTTTCCTAGCCTCGGGTCAGAACAACTGTTTCCTAGCCTCGGGTCAGAATTACTGTTTCCTAGCCTCCAGTCAGAATTACTGTTTCCTAGCCTTGTGTCAGAATTACTGTTTCCTAGCCTTGGGTCAGAATTACTGTTTCTTAGCCTTGGGTCAGAATGACTGTTTCCTAGCCTCGGATCAGAATTACTGTTTCCTAGCCTTGGGTCAGAATTACTGTTTCCTAGCCTTGGGTCAGAATTACTGTTTCCTTGCCTTGGGTCAGAATTACTGTTTCCTAGCCTCGGGTCAGAATGACTGTTTCCTAGCCTCGGATCAGAATTACTGTTTCCTAGCCTTGGGTCAGAATTACTGTTTCCTAGCCTTGGGTCAGAATTACTGTTTCCTAGCCTCGGGTCAGAATAACTGTTTCCTAGCCTTGGGTCAGAATAACTGTTTCCTAGCCTTGGGTCAGAACTACTGTTTCCTTGCCTTGGGTCAGAATTACTGTTTCCTAGCCTCGGGTCAGAATGACTGTTTCCTGGCCTCAAGTCAGACAGTTTACAGCAGAAAGACAAGCAAGGAATGGTCTGAAACTGCTTGTAAACTCTCCGTAAATTATGCTCAGAAATCATGTGTGTACTTCCATAGTCTATCAGAAACACCTAGAGATGGATATCATACAATAACAGTATATCAACATAATTTTACATACTTTTCAGACACACTTGGATATTTGTCTTGAAACATATGAAAATAAATGCTTAGAGAGCCAAAAAATATTCCGTGTTTAAATTTGAGAATAGATTGAATAGTAATATATTTTACCTCAATTATTTATTCTACTGGTTTTCATTTAAACTTTTTTACAATCTAACAAATAAAAACAAGAAATGCAGCAATGCAACAAAACAGGATTTCTACAATCACTTGAGAATGTAGGAGTTGCGCAAAGAAGTGTATTTCTCTATTTCTTTTTTAAAGAAAAAACTTAAAAGAGCCATAACTCCGCCCAAAAATGTTTGAATCAAAAACACTGGCAATATGCTCTGCAGTTGTAAATGCCAGCTACAATCCATACTGCCTAGCTCAAGGTTAAAAGTGAATTAACAAAGTTAAAATATGACAATAAAGTCCAAATCACAAAATCATAATAATCATCTGAATGAAGTAGTTATCATTTCACCTATTATAATAATTCACTTACAATTTTTAAGGTTGCAACTATTTTTTTCAATTTGGTAATTTGTTAATTTTAAAACGATAAAATAATAAATATTTCAAAGCCTGAACATACCTGAAAGCTTTGTTTCTTTGGAGTTACATTTGTGATTTTACCACGGTACCAAATGTTTTTAGACATGAGAAAGGCAGCACAAAACCAACCCACTTCCCACTTGACCATATTATCAGGTTTAGTGTTCCGATAAGTCATCTGCATTTTCTTCATTAGCCTGTAAATAAACAAATTCCTTTACAGATGAACTTAATGTAAATACAAGCATAAACAGCTCAATGTAGGGTCTGTTTGGTTTACTGGTGCACCAACACAATTTATGTCATATGGTGCTGAAACAGGAAAGATGATTTTGGCAAACCTTGAGTGTTACAAAATTTATGCAACACCAGGGGACAAAACCACCTCACCTACTGGAGCTAAGACTCATGCATTGATTCTAGTTATTCAAACCCATTAAGTTACCTCTAATGATCATGCAGGGATAAAATGTGGCTACAATTCTGATGCCTCAACCGTTAAAGGCAACTCCTCAGCCATAAGGAGGTATCAAATCTAACAAGCAATTATCATAGTATTGCAAGCAATCCATAAGTCCCCTACCAGTTAGAACCCCAGCAACATTCTGAAGGGCCATTGGCCATTCACTTATGTTTCTATTTTAAGTAAATTTGTTGAAAAGTTCTTTTAAAGTGATCACAGGAAACAGTTTTTATGTACAGACAGACGGACTGAAGGGCACTCTACAGTTATTTTTTAAACATCCCTGTTATCAAAATATAACATTTTTAAAAGCAAAATTTTTAAAAAGGAGAGAACTCTTGAAATAAAGATGCAAGATGTCATACATGATGTGAGTGTAACAAAGAACAATTTGTAATGAAGGTATGAATAATGAATGTTTATTTTAAATTTGAAGTAAATGAAAGTTAAAAGAACGAATAAGAAAAATTAAAAGTTTAAGGAGGAGATAATTCTGGAAATATGGATGCTAGATTTATAAACCTTGTCATATTATTATGATGTGGGAGTTTGAAGAAAATCCTATCATGATTGAAGAAGTTGGAGTAAAAATTACCAATTTCTCGAAAAAAAGTCTAACTTCAAAAGGGGCATAATTCTGGAAATAGTCTTACTAGAGTATTGAACTTTCTCACAAATGTTGAGTGATAATAAGAAACATATTATATGAAGTTTGAAGTAGATACATTCAGAAAAAAAGAAGTTATTAAAAAAACAATATTTTTTTCATGAAAATTTTAAGTTCAAGGAAGGTAATTCTGATCAATTTTGTGCTAGAGTTGTAAACTTTGTCACATATGATGTGGTTGATGACTAGCAACTTATATTTAAAGTTTGAAGAAAATACCTTAAGAAATAAAGAACTTATAATGAAAAAACTTAAAAACTAGAATCAGAAATCTTGAAATTCAGTCTATTTGTTGCCATAGCAACGAGAATTTTCAACATAGGAAGATAAGAAAAGGATGTGCATAATTTCCAGACTGCCATCTACCCATATGTCAAGTTTCATAAAAATATTTTCAGTACTTTTTGCGTTATCGCGGGATCCAGTTTTGTGGACGGACAGACTGACGGACGGACAGACAGACAGACGGTAAACCTAAAGTCCACTCTGGTAAACCGGTAGGGGACTAATAAAAGATCTACTCTGTAGAAATTATATCAATAAGATTGAACATACTGGTTAGTGTATAGTAGCCAATATGAAACCAGGAAAGGAAACTAGTTAAGAATATTATTAATTTTATGTTCAGACCTGGCTTTTTAATGTTTAACCTTTTTATCAGCTAGAACACAAAGGTTTAGTCTTTATTCCACACTGCTATGATCTTGAATCTCAAGATGATGAATTCAAACAAGTTATCCATCAACCAAACTAAACATTGTTAGAGACCAGCTCAAGTGTCTTGTAACAATGTCAGATAGGGCAACTGACTGTATAGGAGGCCATTGAGAGTAGAACATAAGCTATAAATCTCCTTTTTGTGAATGAATCTAAAGTTATTGTCAGAAGCAGTCTCCCAATAATGATTGATCAGAAATCATTTTTACCTACAAGGTAAATGTGATTTTTGTTTGTTTAATAGGGTTTTATGTCACACCGACACAGTATAGGTCACATGGCAACATTCCAGCTTTTACTGTTGGAGGAAGCCCTCAGATGCCCTTCTGTGCATTATTTAAGCCATGAACGGGCACATGAGTAGAACCACCAACGTTCCTTAAGCTAGCCGGATAGCTTTCCTACATGAAAGAATCCAAAGTCCCTGTCGGAATTCAAACCCACAGCGGTCAGGGGCAAGTGGTTTAAAGTAAACGACCTTAACCACCCTGCAACAGACACCTTAAGGTCAATGTAACCTTGACCTTTGACCCCTTGACCCCAAAATCAATAGGGGTCATCTGCTGGTCATGACCAATGTACCTACAAAGTTTAAGGACAAAGGGTCTATGAGTTGCCAAGTTATTGATCCCTAAAGATCAATGTGACCTTGACCTTAGGGTCATCTACTGGCCAAGACCAATGCACCTACGAAGTTTGAGGGCCAAGGGTCTATGGATTGTCAAGTTATTGATTGGAAACCGTTTTTATCTACAAGGCCAATGTGACCCAGAGCTATGACCCCATAACCCAATAATCAATAGGGCTCATCTACTGGCCAAAACCAATGTACCTACAAAGATTGAGGGCCAAGGACCCAAAAGTTATTGATCCGATACAGTTTTTACCTACAAGGTCAATGTGACCTTGACATTTGACCCCAAAATGGGGGTCATCTACTGGTCATGAACAATCCCCATACCAAGTTTTAAGTGCTTATGCCTTGATTTGGCCTTGGTTCTTTAGTTTTTGGCCACCGACAGACAAATGCAAAGTCATATACCCACTTCTTTAAAGGGGGGCATAATAAGCATGAATCTGGAGACATCCTGCTATTAGGATTAAAACCCATCCTCTTGTTGAGACTTTAAGGTCTGTTTAGGTATGTGTCCTGAAGAAACTTACTCTTGACAAGCAGTCTTATCTGTCTGGACAAGTTGAAGATGTATTTCAGATGGCGACACATAGTTACATATTCTAACATGAAGACAGGCATCTTTCAGCTGTACTAATGCTCCAAAACTCTCTTTCTCTGCAATTGAAACAAGAACTGTTGATAGGACAGCAAACTCGACTATTCTCAGTGCTTAATAGTAAAATAAAAGCCTGGATAATGTAAGAATTAACAAAGATGAAGATTTCATTCAGAGTAAATACATATAATTTACATGAAATAGTTATGAGTCTTGGATCTCATTAAGTTCATAAAGGGCCTTATTTCATTTAAAATCAAAGACAGTTTTTGGTCTTACATGTCTTAGTGACAATTCAATTCAAAATTAATGAATCAAGTTCCATATGAATACAATCAGTAAGCTTGTGAACGATTAATGATGCAAGCAAGACTTAAACCAAAATTTTCTCAATTCATAAAGGGCCATTATTCATTTATAATAATTTAATGTCAGTATGATTGGATAGTGTTCTCCAAGTATGATCCCTAAGACATGTATTAAGTTTCATGTGAATACCTTCAATAGTTATGAAGATCGATAATGCACAAAAAACTTAAATATTTTCTTAGTTAAAAAGAGGTCATAATTCGGTCAAAATCGATGAAAGAGTTATTGGCCTTAGAAAGTTATCTTTAATTATGATCCCACAAACATGTATGAAGTGTTAGGCAAATACCTTAGTTGTTTTGAAGATTAACGTTACATGCAAACTTTTAATTTAAGAATTTTCAAAAGTTGCATTAATGTATAAACAAGAGCTGTCAGAAGGACAGCGCGCTCGACTTTTTTAGTGCTTGCCTATAAAACAAAACTTTGACAGTTAAGGGCACACAAGACTTTAACTAGGAATTTCTAAGTACAAATCAAGAAACATTTTCACAGAGTTATCTTCTCTTGCTTACAGATAGGTCTCATGATGGCACATAAGAACTCCAACTTCCAAAGTAATATCTCAAATGGTTAAGTCAACAAGTGGACAAGAATGAAAATCTTAACTGAGTTTCTAAGTCAAAAAGGGCCATAATTCAAATAAAATCCTTAACAGAATTACCTTCTCCTGCCCATGTTTTGGGACCATGATGGTAAACAAGTATTCCAACTTTCAAATTAATATCTCAAACAGTTCAGTCAAAAAGTGGACTGGTACTAAAAACTTAACCAAGATTCTAAGTCGATAAAAGGCCTTAATTTTTAAAACAAATCCTTGACAGAGTTACCTTCTCTTGCGTACAGATGGGGGTAATGATGTGAAATAGCATTAAAAGTTTCAAAGCAATATCTCAAAGGGTTAAGGCAATAAGTGGATTTTACCCATATTCAATGTATTTTCTAAGTCAAAAAAGGGGCATAATTCTGTCAAAAACCTTGACAGAGTTATGTCCTCTTGTCTGTTGATGAAGGTCGTGATGGTAAACAAGTATGGTCAGTTTCAAAGCAATACCTCCAATGGTTTTGAAATAAAGTGAGGTGGTACAAAAAACTAACCAAGCTCAATACACTTTCTAAGTCAAAAAAGGGCCATAATTCTGTCAAAAAACCTTGACAGAGTTATGTACTCTTGTCTGTAGATGGAGGTTATGATGGTGAACAAGTATGGTAAGTTTCAAAGCCATACTTGTAATACTTCTGAAATAAAGTGGGGTGGTACGAAAAACTTAACCAAGGTGTGACGCCAACGCTAACGCTAACGCCGACGCCGACGCCGACGCCGGGGCGAGTAGGATAGCTCCCCTTTTCATAGAAAAGTCGAGCTAAAAATGAAGTTTGGACAAACATTAAAAAAA